ACACACACACACAAAAAAAAAAAAAAAAAACTAATTCAGACAGTGAAAGCCAGAGAGCTCTGTTTTTCAGGAAATATTGCTTGCCGGAACCGAAATTACAGTACCGGGATGGACTTTTTTAATGGTTATTCCGGCGAAAGCGCCGCCGTGATGGGCGGTTTTTGAAGGTTTGACCAAGTCTTCCCTTCTCCCAGCTTTCTCCTGCTCCATCCTCTGAAGTTTCTCCTCCACTTTCTTCTTCATTACATAAACCCTAGCGCAGCTCGCTCCGATGGACGACATGGTTCCTTACAGTGCCCTTTTTCCTCTTCTTTCTTTAATCGGTGTGTTTCAAGGCCTTAAACCCTCCCGGTATTTATAGTGGCAGCTTGCTTGGAAGGGGCCAGGGGGGCTTCCCTTTGGCCACCTAGTTAATTCGGATCAATTAATTTAGATTTATTTATTTCATGTTAATATCTAATATATTAATTTATTTAATTAAATTTAAAATTATGATGAAGGATAATTAATAATTCATAGATGCTCAATAATGCAAGTCAATTAATTTTTAATTCCAGCGTGGAGAAAACGGTTGAGAGACGGCCACTACCGTTTACCGTTTACCAGAATGGTTTTGAAAGTACACAGAATGACGGACAAAAACGGTGGGGGAACCTCAATCTCTCTCTCTCTCTCTCTCTCTCTCTCTCTGGATATTTGGAAATATTGGGTTTCTATTCGGTGCGGCACTCACACAACGCGTATTGTGAGGACGCCGCGTCAGCATAAAGATATTTTTTAATACAGGCGGCCAAAGTTGCGCTTACTTGTCAGATACTTACTGGCTAAGACTCCGAGGTCATAATCGGAATTGTGGACTATGGAGACACTTTATTTATTTATTTATTATTTTATAATTTTTTTTCTTAAAATTATTTGATTTGACATTATTTGAAAGCACTTAGAAAAAGTTTTAAAAGTCCAATTTTCATTTGCACCCACTCAATTTTTGCCGACGGGTTTATAATTATGATTATTTTCATATTTTATTAAAAAAAATAGTTTTTATAATAATAATAAACTAAATGACTCATAATTGTAAAGGTAAGAGTCAAATTAAGACTAAGAATAAATTTTGATGATGTAATCATTCTTTTTTTTTTTTTTAATTTGAAATAATTAAAAACGATAAAAGAAATTGGGATTATTATTATTATTTAGGAGATGGAGAAATCAAGTACGCCTGTTACGGAGTACGGAATTTCCATTAAGGTGATAAAGCATCGTGAATTAGATGAGGTTGTCTGCCTTTTTCTTCTTTTTCTTCACTTTATTATTATTATTATTTATAATTATTGTTATTTTGCCTCTTGTTCTTTGTCGTTACTCTCAAAGGTCGGTGATATGAATTCAACTACTGACCCTTTGCATGTACCTGAATGACCTATTACAAGGAACAAGGTTAAGAAGATTTAAGAAGCCTATGCACTGCATCGTTAAACGCTAGTTAGTGTACAAGTTGAAACAAAGCACTACCAATGGAGACAATTTATGTATGCCTTATTTTCTTTAATTTGTATTTACTGGTTTTTATTACAAGTTGTAGTTTGTAGTTGATAGATAACTTCATTATGTTTTGGCATATTTAAAGGCATGTAATATTCATACGTGAGAATCATTGTTGAATGCAAACAAAATCTGTGTTTTTTTTTTTATACCTTTTTGGTGTTATTCTTTTTCAAACCTTGTTTTAGGTTTGATATTTAAACCGATTCATTGAATTAGTTTTGATCAAGCTAATTTTGGAGTGAGTCGTCTTGAAATTTAAGAGTCACCATCATAGATTTCAAGTTCGATCTAAGAGTCATTCATATTCTAACCAGCTTTTGGTTAGAATCAATTCGTTAAGTTAGCTTTCTTTGTGAGCTTTTGTAAGAATTCTAGAAGTACATCTAGCTGGAATCCCGCGCTTATTCGTAGGCATTTTTTTTCTCCCCTTACAAGTTCCATTCGAATCAAAACCGTATTGGGCCCAAAAAGGTCCATTGGTTTTTATATTTACTCGGGCCCAAAGGCCCATTGGTTTTCTCATATTTACTTGGGTAAAAAATAAAAAATGGGACTTCTATATTTGCATAAATAATTATTGATTTTATGATAACTTAATTATTACTTCATTAAATTTGCTTGACAAATTAGCTTCAATTTTCAATGCCTTCTCAAACCAAACATGAACATAACAGCCATTAATTAATTAACCCAAATTTTAATTAAAACCCACATTTTCCATTTTAATAAATATTTGTTAAATCCATATTTATCTGATACAATTCCAACCAAGCTAGCCGATAGAAGAACTCGTGCAGTCGGGTGATGCTATATCCTACCTGCACTAATGCTTGATTTTGTGTGTATCGTTGCGAGGACTGAATCCTTCTAGTCATGCCATTGTCCCTATATTGTATGTCATATCTTGGAATTCGTGTGATGGGATGTGTCTATTTCATGTCATTCTTGATCTCAAGTCCTAGTTCATCCTACCAATAATTGAAGTGCATTAATTTATTAATTTACTGAGATTCAAATGATCTCGGCCAACCAATTTAATAGATTGAGCCTACTTGACCGGTCTTGAACCAACTCATAACAAAATTATTATTTCATTTAAAATTTTCAATAAATTATGTTTTATTTATCAATTTATTAGTAAATAATTAATAACAAAAATTAATTAAGATAGTGATGATGGACTATTAAAATTTATATATATATATATTTGTAGAGAGAATTAAAAATAAATTAATAAAATATTCTTAATAAATGTTAAAACTCTATTACAATAATTAAGTAGCACTTGGTAAAGGAATCAAACTTATAATTTAATAATTGCTAGTTTATCCATAAACACGGTTTTAGGGAATTCCACGTGTACTGAAGTGAGATTGGTTGCACAGAAATTCTATGAATCCACGAGTGTGAGTTTCTTTTAGGAAAAGAAGAGGAAAAATAAAAATAAAAATAAAGAAAACAGAGGATATAGAGTGCTGAAATTTCAGATAGAGTAAAAAATTGGAAGAATTGGAATCTATCTGTCAATCTCTATCTGGGCAGCCATGGGAGCTCTCTCCGAGTTTTTCTCCCACCTCCACACAATGACCGCCGTCTTCTTCACCCTGTTAATTCTCGAGCTAGTTATTCTCGTTCGCACGATCTTCGGCTTGAGGCCTAACGTCGACAAGCGCGTGATTCCGACGGCGCAGTTTTTGAAACTGATCGAGGAGAAGAATCCGACGATTCGATTCTCCAATAAGATTACCTCCAGTCCCGCCGATCAGTGTGCAGTTTGCCTCTCTGAATTCGAGGAAGGGGAGAAGGTACGGAAATTGCAGTGTAACCACACTTTTCACAAGGATTGCCTTGATAATTGGCTGAAACTCTGTTTCGCTACGTGTCCGCTTTGCCGGAGTAAGGTTTTGCCGGACGATATTGTCGCCGGCTATCACAGGCTGCGGGACCGTGTAGAGTACGACGGAAGCGACGAGGAGCTCATCTTTTTGTTATCAGCATTACATGGTAATAGTATATACAGATTTTTCTAGGGAGAAATCTAATTTCATTTTGTTCATCACAGAAAATAATCAAATAACATAGGATGTTGATTTTGTGTAGATTAACTAGTGAATATTGTTTTCTCCTTGAAACTTGACGAGCAATAGCGTTAGGTAACAGCTCGCTTCTGGTTCGATTGATCTGTTGTTAGATCGAGTAAAATCGTGTATGTTTCTGTTTACCTGTAGTTACTCCAGCCAACTGTTTGATGCTATGTTTCTTGATTGCTTCCTACTTTTCCTGGTTCTTCGTCAATGAATCATTAATTTTTGGGAACAATCAATTTACATCTTGACCAGCACCTTTGTTCCAAAACACATTGAAATCCGCTCTATATCATCCAAATCACAGCCACTTTTCTCCACCAGGAAGTTTACTTAGGCTAATCCAAAGGATCTTTCGAAAAATTGAAGACGTTAGTTAGATAATCCATTAGAGTCTCTTGTTATTGGGATTCCTTGGCTACGTAGGGCCAGGACGTATAGTTATAGATAGTAGATGTGAGTTGGTGGACTAAGTTATGGTGCTCTTACGAGGTAACTAAAGTGGTACATGACAGCATTTATTAAGAACATATAGTGATTAGGAAGAGGAAGTTCATCCAAGTTTGACAGAGTTTCCCTTGATATTTGCATGTGATTTGGGTGGATATGGTAGGAGGACTAAATGCACTGTTGGTGGGCAGCAATTAAATGCAGGAACAAACAGAAAATTGGCACATCTTCCCTGTCTTTATGCCCCAATAGTGATAGTGAATCCAACCAATCCTGTTGAACTCCAAGGCCTCTGATTTGATGTGCGAACCAGTGACTCCTTTTTGTTCACTGTTCAAATTTTGTTCAACCTTATCTCTACAAAAGACGAGGGAATCTCAGAAACCATGTTTAACAACCTTGATTAGGTGACTTTGTAATATCAAGGTTTCTTTACATTTTCAAGGAATTACAACTTTGGAAGTCTTAGCGTTCTCAGAATCAGTCATCGTTGAGAACAACCAAAAACAGCTTTTAGATGGTCGAGCCAAACACATTTCCCTATGTTTTAGAACTGTTCCCGAGAAGGACTTTGAAACATTTCCTATTCCAAATGTTTGTGGAACCTTTATTCTTCGCATGATGAACTGAATCGTTCTGTAAGTTCCAATTGCAGTGAGTGGTTGGTTGCAAAAGATTTGACATTTATTGTCAAATTCCAAAAGTAGATGAACGACTTGAATAGTAATAATAGCACCAAACCAAAAGAACGCATTTGGAGGAGATTGATCCTTATCCATTTGGGAAATGGGGTGGCTGAGTTCTTTGTTCTCTGAGTTTGTTGCACGTTGTTGTTGCCCCATTCTAAAAAAAGGAACATCTTATATATATTTAAAATTGCCATTCACATTATTATAGGACTCGAGTTTGGTGTTTTCTTTAGTCATGAGTTTGGCAGGATGCAACCAAACCCATTGGAAAATTATTCAAAACGAGGGCTGCTGGATTGGCCATTCTGTTAATGGAGCTTTGAATTGTATGAGGTTAACTGGTTTAGATTTGTCGTTGAAGATAGAGACGAATTGATGATTTGATGATAGCCTAGAAGCCACAGAATACCCACAAGACTCCAGTTTTGGTCCAATTCCTCAAAATCTACCAGAAACCCACAAGACTGACATAATTACAAGGCCTAAAGATGACACCATTTTGTGTTCGTATCATTTTTACCATATCTTTAGCGGAAAGTAACAAATGGAGGAGTATTAGTTTCAGGATCAATTCTCTATCTGTGCAGAAGCCTGCGGAAAAGTCTTGATAGATTTTATATTCTCTCTTTTAGTCCATAACTATAGTTGTAAATCTCATGATTTTAGAACCATTTATTAAAGAATGTTTGTAACGGTTCAAGTTCACTGTTAGTAGATATTGTCCGCTTTGGCCAAGTTATGTACTACTGTCCATTTCATGTTTGTAATAACTCAAACTCAATGCTAATTAGCAGATATTGTCTACTTTTGCCTATTACATATGCTATCAATTTCATGGTTTTAATATGCATCTACTGAGGAATGTTTGTAACAGCCCAAGTCTTGTCCGCTTTGACCCATATCGCTATCAATTTCATGGTTTTAAAACGCATCTATTAGAGAATGTTTGCAACAGCCCAAGCCCAAGCCCAAGCCCAAGCCCAAGCCCAAGCCCAAGCCCAAGCCCATCGCTATCAAATATTATCTGCTTTCATAGTTTTAAAACGCCATCTGGAGAATGTTTGCAACACTACAAATTCACTGCTAGAAGAAATTTGTCCGCTTTGACCCATTACATATCGCTGTTAGTCTGATGATTTAAAACGTGTCTACTTTTACAAGAAATATTTCATTTTAACTCTCAAAACCATCGAACCAAACCAAGTGAATGATGACTATGGCAACGTATTTTTACTTGCACGTCAGGCTGAACATGTGAAAGCATTTGAGGACGTAGCTGAATGTCTAGGATTAGAATGATTGAATCATGAAATAATTTAGAATCATCATTTTAAAGTAGACTTTCAAATGGAATGGCTGGTGTTGTAATTGAATGAAAAGGATCATCAATTCGGGTATCCACAAGAAGGATAAGAAGGATAAGAAGGATGAGAAGGATAAGAAGGATGAGAAGGATAAGATTACAAACAATGCACAAATTGGAAAGATTTACAGTATAATACAAAGAAGACGAACTCAGGCGGAGAAGAATCCAGTGGATGCGGCTCGCCCGATTTGGGATTTGGGTTCAAAAACCCATTTGAATTCATTTGGTTGGGCCAATTCCAATTCCAATTCCATCATCTTCTTCACCCTACTCGCAGTTGCAGAGATGGAAACCCCAGAAACCAAATCTTGAACCTCTGCCGCCGCCTTCTGTTCTTGCCTTGGATTCTTCATCCTCCTCTCGTATTCCTCTGCGACCAGAATGGCAATATCCGCCATGGCTGTGTGATCTTCGAAGCTTTTCTTAGTTGATTTTGAAGAGACCCATTTGGGAAGAAGAGAGGAATATATTGAGGGAGTGGGGGATGATTGTGGATAAGGCCGACAAGTCGGTGTAGACTGTATAATACAAATAAAAAAAAGGTGGAGTAATTTAATTTAATTTATTTTATTGTATAATTTCCAATTTATTTTATTTTATTTTAACAAATATAATTTGCATTTTCTTATTTTATTGAAGGGTTTTTTTGGAATTACAAAATAAAGCTTATCTTGATGAAAAAGTTTCGGTTTTGGAAGAGAGAGAAAAAAAAAAGGTTTGGTTTGGTTTGTTTTGGTTTAATTTGATTTAGTTGGGACGTCTCATAAAACCTACTTTAAAAAAATTATCTGATTTTAAGTTGGTTAGAGAGGAGAACGGATCATTTCTTATAAAGGTGTAAAAATCTCTCCTTAGTAAAATTGTGAAGCGACGATTTCATATCGGTTAAAATTGTGAGGCTGATGACGATACGTAACGGATCAAAACAGACTACTAAGCTGATGATGATAGGTAATAAATTTAAATAGATTGTAAAATTGACGATAATACATAAAGAGTTAAAAGTAAACAATATGTACTCGATCTTTCTTCCGGTCCAGTTATGTAGTAGGTAATAGGTTAGGGGTAGAAAGTAAAGGCGAAGTATCCAATTGTTTGTTTAGTCTATTGGGTCCCATTTTGTTAATCATTTTGGTACGGGAAATAATGGAACTTAGGAAGTGGTTTTTGAGAATGAAAACCGCCAAACAGAAACCCAGCAAATGGTTTTCATCCCAATACCAAAACCACAACACCGACAACGCCTAATTCTATCAGATTTCAGATGAATGTGAGTGATACGTGTCATCTTATTATTTGCCCTTCACGTTAGTTATAAATTTTACCAACAAGTTTGTGCCAGAAAACGTGGCACCGTTTTACAGGTTGTCTTCATGCACCCCGACGCTGACAGTCCACTGATTTTGTTTACTCCATAAAAATAAAATATTTAACTTGCCACTTAATCACTATTTGATCTTTAAACTAAAAAAGAATAAAGAAAAAGAAAGAAAGAAAAGAGCTAAATGGAAGATAAATGAGTAGCCAAATCACAAATAATCCTTAAAAAAAAAAAAAACAATGTTATTACATAAAGATGTCTATTTAACATCGAAAGACTGTTTAAAGCATAAAGATGTAAGGATATGGTAAAAGACTTGAGCTGCAACTGAGTAGGAAAAGTATATGGTCAATTCAGACTTGAATAGGAACAACGGCTCTTCCAAGAACTGAAATGAAAACGGGCCCATTTCAAACCAAGAACAATCAAAGGATGATAAAAATAGTTAATCTTTCAAACGTCTGTCCTGTCCTATAAAGAGGTTTAGCTTTACTTCAATCAGTGCCTCCCACTGCTACAGTTTTAAAACGTCTCCTATGAAGAGGGTTAACCCTACTTCGACTAATACCCTACCACTAGCCGATATTGTCCACTTTGACCCGTTATATAACGCCATCAGCCAAACAGTTTTAAAATGCGTCAACTAGGGAGAGACTTCCATGCCCTTATAAGTAATGCATTGTTCCCCTTTCCAACCGATGTGTAATCTTACAAGTACAAAGTCCCTTTATAAGTAATGCATGCGTCAACTAAGGAGAGACTTCCATGCCCTTATAAGTAATGCGTTGTTCCCCTTTCCAACCGATGTGTAATCTTACAAGTACAAAGTCCATACAGCCTTCATCTTCACAGCTCGCCAATGGAATAAGTGGAGGAATATGCGACGATAAACCCGCCATTAGGAATCAAGGAACAAAAACACAATAAATGGGGCAAGAATGTAGAGAAGAATTACAGCAAAATATGATACGAGATGGCCCATCTCCATGAACATGCCGTCTTCCTTCTCCATTATTATGAAGGTGGAAGAAAGCAAAATTAAGTGGATACTTGAATGTTGTTCTTCTCAAATCGCTACACAGTTCATCATTTACATTAACGTATCCTCCAATTATGTCGTTTCGTTAATAATTAATAAACGTATTGAAACTAATTGGCATTTTTATCAGAGCTGCAGAAAAAAAAGTTCAGAAGTACTCTAAATCTCACGCAGCAGAAACATAATTACTAATTTGGAACACAGCCTAACAGACGTCCTCAAGAAGCTAATATTTAAATCAATTAAAAAAGGCCCTAAGTTTACTTCTTCCTCTTCTTGGGAGGCTGGAGTGCTTCCTCGTCTTCATCCTCGTCT